CCGTATTAACATTCTGGTTGCCTTTGCATCTGGCGGAGTTTTGAAGACATCTACTACTTGTCTTGATGCTTAACCGTGCGTGACCTGCTGATGCCTTCAGAAAAAAACACATGTATATATGTATATATATATTGACAGATTATTTCCTTTATTCTATATGTACTATATGTAGGTCAATTCTGGTGACCAGTGGAATCGCGCCAAGTCTCAACGACTCGGTGTTTTCCACGTACTGTCCTGGACCCAGGGGACCGAGTGAGTTCAAAAGCACCCGAAGCCACTGTTGGATGGGTGTCTTTATGAGACCCTATTGAAACACTCCAATGAACATGTTCAAGACACCCCAAGTCAAAGAAGATCCCCAGTTCTTTAGAGCTGGAGGCCATTGCCAGAAAAGGTGGGAGAGGCGCTACTCGGGTAGGTCAGGCCATCGCTATTTAGGTTGGAAGCTCGTTTTCGTTTGGGGCCTCTTCCGACCGGTTCTCCTTGGTTGGTGTTGGCCGACCGACCGGTCTCACGCCAGGCGGTGAGACGGACACGCTTCGGGTGACGGCCCATGGGACGACGCTCGTGGTGTGTTGGAGCTTTGACAGAGGTGCGGTGGTTTGGGTGAAGGGGCGATGTTTGGTTGGGAAACCTGGCCTGGCCTTGAAGATTCTACCCGATTACCCTCTAAGCTTCTAAAACGTAACAGGGTGTTGGCTGCGCCCTGATGATGATGTTTGTCGTGTGTCACTCAGAGACATGGGATGTCATCGCAGTGAGGTTTTTGTGCTTTTGTGGGCGAAATTGCCTATCGCGAAGTCACGGAGGCAGGCTGGTTCAAGAGTACTTATGCAGCCTCAGCAAGGTCATGTGAACAGCTTGGCAAAACTCTATCGAGCGGCTTTGTACCGCCGAACAGCCAGATTTCTGTGGGGGGATGTTGCTTCATGGAGGTTTCTACACATGCTCAATGAAACTCTTCTACCTCAAACGCCAGGCATGTACGCATCCCGTTGTTCCACTGCACCTCTTTGTGAAACCATCATGCCCCATGGAGTGACTTTCTTCCCCAAACAGATCGTCCACCAAGCACACGACGGGTGAACCCGAGATGGACGCCACCGGAGGTCAATCAGAGCTCTCCTTCCGAATAGCAAACCGTTTGGACCACCGGATGTCCGCCAGGTGTGGACTCTTCCACTCGGACAGCCAGGAGCCTGGAGAGTGTGTTCATTCGGGTAGTCCTTTTTTGAGGGAGGAGTTCAAGATCCACATGGCAGATCCACATCAGGAATGCATGACTCTACACAAGAATCAGATGAAAAAGGACATGGGATGATGCGGCCAAAGAGCACAAGACCTAATTTTGCGATGGCTGACTCCAAGTTGAAGGATGCATGCCTTCATAAACGTTTTGTGCTTGAGTCTGGTTGTTGTAATGCTCTGTTTTTGGTGCTGTCTGGACATGACCTTTTCAGTGGCTTGAGACCATACCAACAAATGTATAGATTCTAGATCTGACAACCGAAGGCAGAGTCGAACAGACTGAGCGTGTTTTTCATCATCGGACGACAGGATGACTGAAGGGTGAGATCTTGTTTGAAAGGGCACTAGGCTGCAGGCCCTGCAGGCTGCCTGTTTTTCTTCACCACTCGCCAACTTACAGCCAAATAAAGACCTAAACCAGATGCAGGTGATGCCGGTGTTCACGGTCTCGAAGGCCGAGCCGGGCGGCCTGGTCACATGTTGGACATCGGATCTTCAGGTCCAAACGAAGCACGCTTGGCTGGGCCGAAACCCGTCCGGGTTTCTGGTCTCTTCACGGCGCACGCACCAAGGTTGGGCGGATCCATCCTGGCAACACGAGGCGGAATGCGGAGACGGCTTCACAGTGAGAATGGAAGGTCCTACATCCATAGCACGTGCACCAAAGGCAGGTCATTCGAATTTATGAACATGCTGCTGCTGGTGGGACGGTTCTCAGGACCCGATCATTTTAAGGATCTATGGATAGAAGTCATAGTATAGAAGATCATTTGATATTTTGGAAGCACTTTTACTATCATTATGTCAGTCAGAGTCACAATTGTTGTCAGGCTCCTTTACTAAGAGAGTTTGTCCCGCTGGTGTTTGGGATTTTTTTGGAAAACGACAGGGAACACCCAAGCAGCCCTCGCGGAATCACTCTTTCCAGGGCTTACAAGAGGAGATGCGTGATGATAGTGATTGCACGACATGCTGCAGGACATGCCTGGTCATGTGGTAGATGATGATCTACCGTAAATCTAGAAGCCTTTCTGACCATTCCCTCTCTGGATTTCAGCTTTCGTCTGAAATAAAGCAGATGAAGCATGTGGATGAATTGCGGCTCAAGTGCCATGTGTCACTATTCATTGCAGTTGAGTAGGAATCACGTCTTTTCCCCTGTTCACAACTGCAGTCACAGCTCTTCATCTGTTCACCGTGCCTAAGTAGAGTTACTGTTCTCCACGGCCAGGCCCTTCATCACTGCAGCTGGGGTGCTCAGAGCTGGGGCGCTGGGGAGCTGGGCGTTTAGTCAGGAACATCCTTCAAACTTCAAAGTGCTTTACTCATGAGCTGGGCATTTACTGCCTTTTTGTTCGTTTTTCTGTTGATTTTGTTCGTTTTGGTTTGATCATGTTCTTTAGGTGTATCTACTGAGGATGTCTGGTCCAATGGTCGCTGAACTGAGGATAAGCCCAGAGCATGTTGCCTTGTCTGATGGAAGCCCTCAAAAAGTTTCTTGGACGGGCTAGCTCTTTGAGACTAGGTGAGCATGCGAAAAGCTTTGCATCAGCTTTGCTGCAAAAGCTTTGCATGGCCTTTGTGTTGCTGTTGCATAGACAGCCGCATAGACGGTCGCATAGAGACTCAGAGACGGACTGGTGAGACGCCGAAGATTTGGAGGTTCCATGTGGGACTCGGGTGAGATTAGACATAGCAGCTGGGAAACTGCACCCCAAATCCTTATTCACGGCTGGCGGTCAATCCTTTCTCGCGAGTGACGGTGACCAATTCTATTTTGCGAGGATCCGCTTTTGCGCATGCCGTGAGTCTCCAGGTTGCAGTTGTTGCTGGCCCATGGGCCAAGTGCTCAGCCTCGCTTCAGCCTGGTCCAGCTGGCCATATTGTCGAAGCGTTTAGGGAGACACTCTTTCTCTCTCTCTCTCTGTTTGCACATTCACTCGTGCCAGATACAAGGGAGAAGGGTCTACCTTTCACGTGGGCAGAAACGCCTCTGCATTTGACCCGTGTGCATTTGGTTGACTTTTGGCAGTGTTAGGTGAGGTGTCCATGAGAGTTGGCGCCATGTTTCTGCGTAATATAGTAATATATATATATATATTATATATATATAATGTATATATATATATACAATACATAGTATTCTTCAACGCTCAGCAGTGGCTACATTTTGAATTTCGCTTCAGAAGGGGAGGGGGGCCGAGGGGGGCTCCCCTAGTGAAGTCGTTGCTTTAATCCACCTCCACGCTCCCCTCGGATGTTTGGAGGCCCACCACTTCACCATAAGATCCTGATTTCAGGATGAGAGTCTCAGGAGTGTTCATGAGTTTTTGGTCACCAACCAGGGAGTGTTCTTTCAAACATTGGGACTGTTTCAATGCAAAGCTCTTCCATCCACTGAAACGTACCTCAGGTGTGCACCCCATGCCGCGCTACATCTGCAGCCTTACATTGCTTTGAATGGATCTGCCACTGAACAGGGCTGTATCGAGAACATTTCAGGAATGAAACTTTTCAGCTAACAAACCTGCTGACCCACCAGAAGTTCTCCTAACCCAGGACATTTGTGAGCTGTTTCGTCACATGCAAAAAACACCATAAACCTTAAAGTACCGAAGCACATGCAGCGCCCTTCTCACCAAGCAAGTCAACCGTGGTTCTGAGCTCTAGAATGATGTAACGAAGACAAAGGCATCCCACTTTGCAACAGTGTTTCTTTTACCCCTCTGACTTCACGTTGCTGTACATCTGAATGGTCATCGGACTCCTTTTTGCGACGACCAAATAGATTGCCCTTCACTGGGGGCGAATCGCCGACCCGATGAGCGACAGCTCCACGCCTTTCCTGGGCAGCACCTGGGCGGAACTCGATTTCGGCCGAGAACGCCCGGGGTGAGTGATTCTACGGAGCTTGAACGGGCGGTGGAGCAACCACCTTCGGGCGGTTCGGATGGTTCTGTCCTGAGACCCATCGGCCCCAGGCGGGTCGTTCACCTCGGGTCCTCGCAGGTCGTTCCAGCGGGATGCCTTCAGTGGCTCGATGTGCGCTACTTTGTGTGGGCTGCAACCTTTGCTGGTGGGGGCTCCTGGCTCACGATGTCGTGGTTGGTTCTGTTGGATTCAGGACTTCATGGTCGCAGTCCCTTTTCACCTTTGGAAGCCAGGTCAGCTTGATTGAGCCAGAGATGGTCTGCATGTCCGTTAAATTATGGGCTTTTACTTCCAGAATAAAGACTAGTCTTTTCATGGCAACTCCAATACAAAGGCAGGCCGCTCCAAGGAGTGACATTTTTATCCTTTGTAGCCTGGCTGGCAGATTCTACTCAATGAGCTGAACAAGCTTTGATTGATGCAACTTGAAATTAGCACACTTGGCAAACTTACTCAAGCGGAGGAGCATCTCCGACCCTTGCCGCGGGCCTTCCACCAGAATTTTGCTGACAGCTTTGCACTGATGACAAGTCACCCCATGTGCTGATTGTAGCCCCCCAAGAAGAAACCAACGTGGTCTCTCAATTTCCAGACTCATATGTGAGGATAGCTTGGGTCCTCCAATCGCAGGTTTCAAGAGGTCTTCAACTCAGGATCAATTGCTCAAGGCCCTGTTTATTTCCTTTGGCACCACCCTGTTGACCACGTGAGTAGCTTGTATGTAGTGAGGGGGAGAATCCAAACGTCAACAACAGAGGCTTTCCAAACTGTTCCAAGGATTTTGGCACCGATCTTAGTTGATACTTCACTAGTTAGTCACTAGTTTCAATGCTTCCATGGCCCAAGCTCTTGCCTTCGCCATGTTCTGTTGGCCAATGGAGTCCTTCTGCTTCCACCTGGCCACGATGGACTCATGCCAAGCCGATCTCGGCGTGGCCCCGCCTCTCTCCTTGTCGGACCGTGGTCGGACTCGCCGCGACCGGACTCGCTACCTCGTCCCCACGCGCCCGGCCGCGAGTCCGGTCCGGGCGGCACCGGGGTCGCGTGCGGCTGCACCGGGGTCGCGAGACGCCGCTGCGGCCGTTGATCTATGACCGAGCCATCGCTCAGGTGCAGGGACGGCTGGAGATGGGAGATCTGGTGGAGGTTTGTGATTGGAATGGCACTGTGGTGGCCCTGGGAGTTTACAATCCTAGCTCCATGTAGCTTTGGTCAACATGGTCCTTCAAAGAGAGTGTGTTTGCCGAAAAGGGAACAAGCTTTGTTTGTGGATGCACCCTTTTTTGGCCTGGAACGTGCAAGGCACATTTTGTTTAAACATTCCTGCAGCAAGTCCAAGGTACAGAGTCAGACTTCTGCTCAATGGTTACTCTGGTGAGCATCATGGCATCGCTGAGCAGATCGTTTTGAAATATTTTTTGCTCAAGTGGACATCATCCCCTACAAGCAAGAAAACAATAGGGGATAGATTCGATAGATTAATAAGGTTTACGTATATTTTGCCTGTTGCCCCATCCGCGATGATAGAGGATGACACGGGAAGAGCATAAGTGTATCATATCAAGTTCTGACTGTAGGGAATCTGACCTCACATCAAAGAGAAACTATGCAGGGAAGCGTGATAAGCACAGGCGGAAATACTAGCCATTGTGGCTAAGAATCCACATATATCTATACAGTGGATCTAAGCCCTCTAGGCTTCACAAGACGCTCCTCCCCTCAAACTTGTAGTAGGACTGGAATGAGTCAACCAGAAAAAGGACAGCCCCAAAAGCACTGACAAGATGATCGTAACATTACAAAATGACTTGTCAAAAACCTACACCAAAACACATTCCGTTCCACAAAACACGACCGCCTTAATGGTTGATCTGAAACCCATCCTTATCCAAACTCTGGTTGAACATAGACTTTCCCAACTCTGGAATGCGCCACAAGCTTTTTCTGACATCTTGCCCGGGGATAGAGGTGCAAAGCCACATCCAAAGCACATCGACAACGCGCACGCGTCGATGGCAACGCCCCCCCACCCCCTGCGCCACCCCAACACAAAAGTCGCATCAACCACACAACAGCAAATATGCCACCAATAGCATCCCTCCTTTTTGCTCCCACAACAACATATCAAAGGACGCTACTAGGAGCTCCTGGCATCGCTACTAGGAGCAAAGG